CTGTGTTCATTTTTAAGCACTCAGTAACATATAACAAAAAGAAATAGAATGAATCCCATATGAGCTCTGGATGCCTTAATTGTGTCTTAGTAATTAGGCAGATCTTTCTATTTTCCAAATTAAAATATTAAGAGCAACAAATAGTCCTGTGGCACCTTAAGGGACGTCTAGATTACAAGCCTCTTTCTAAAGAGAGTATCTAGACTGCAACCATTTATTTCGAAAAAGCAAGCTGCTTTTTCGAAAGAGAGCACTCAGGCAGTCTGGATGCTCTCTTTTGAAAAAGCCCTGTTTGCATTCAATAGCACCTTTTTTCGAAAGAGCACTTTCGAAAAAAGGCGTTATTCATCGTAAAATGAGGTTTTCTCAGTCATGGTTTTGGTTTAGCCTGTCACAAGATGGGAGCTCCACCTCTTAATTTGAATTTGGAACCTAATTCGGGTCATCACTGTCATACAAATCAGGATCAGTCTACAGCTAAGGCCTTAAGACAGGCTGGCTGGCTAGTCAGTCTATGTCCTTACTGGCCATCTCACTGAATCTTTTGGTGACATGATCTCAAGCTGAGCAGCAGCATTCCTTGGTAAACAGGCTTTGTAATTCATATGTCTTCCTCCTCTTATGTTCACACCAAAAAGCAGATGAACTTGAAAACTTGAACTAGTATTGATGGAGATCCATTGCTGGGTATAACTACAAATATTCTTCTTGCTGTCTATGTCCTACAATTTAATATGGAGCAGAAGTGGCCAAGAATTTCTCTGTCTGAGGGAAAAATGCTCAGTGAAAACTTGTGAAAGTGGCATTCCCATATCCTGAGTGTTGGTGGTAAATGCAAAATGGGTGCCTGGAATGTTCAAACTTTGTCCAAAACAGTTAAGTCTTCCTCCTCATCAAGCTGTTCAAAAGCCTGAAAAGTGATACCTGTGCCTTATCTGAAGAACACTGCCCCGAGCCAACAGGAAAAAAAATGTGAAGACTGCACATTTTTGTTCTTATGCTGCCCTCAGGGTTGCTTGAGCAGAGTGGCTACTGTACTTTCAACTAATGCTGGAACAGGACTTGTAGCTGTGGTAGATAATTAATGAGCAATTTATCCTGACTGGGGTAATAAATCCTAAATCTCAAAGTTTAAAAGATCTAGGAGTATTCCATCTCACTAAAGACAAAAGATTCCTGTATTAAAAATGCTAAATAGAAACTAAACGTGTACTGTGTAATATTTAATTATACAATATATTCACTTGCAGAATACTTTCTTCCCTATCAGCCAAATCCCCTACTCAATCCTTGTTCAGGAAAACTATTACTGACATCTACTGACAAAAGATTGAGTAAGAAGGCCCTTACTATTTGACCCTAAATTTTTATGGAACCATTCTCCCATAGCTGTTATCAGGTGTTTAAAGGAAGTAACTGTCGACTTAGGGGAAGGGTTATGGAATGTATTCATTTATCTTTCAATCTTGCAACATTTAAAATTGTTTCAGATAGGGCCATCCACATCAGTGATACAGATCAGTGCTGACAGGGTTACTGACACACACACTTCCTTGTGAATCTCAGTTCAGTCATGTGATGGCTAATACACACATACAAATTAATGATCTTATGATCCCTCCATTACTGCAAAATTGATAGTATATTCCTCTTTCTTGGGCCTTGCAGTGTCAGAAGAGTAATTCCAATTAAGAACATAAGAACAGCCATACTGGGTCAGACCAAAGGTTTTTCAGAACTCTTGGGTGAATACCATCTGGTCCCAGTGACTTGTTACTGTTAAGTTTATCAATTTGTTCCAAAACATTCTCTAATGACACATCAATTTGGGACAATTCCTCAGATTTGCCACCTAAAAAGAATGGTTCATGTTTGGGAATCTCCCCAATATCCTCAGCTGTAGAGGCTGAAGCAAATAATTTATTTTGCTTCTCCGCTATGACTATCATCGAGTGCTCCTTTAGCATCTCAGTCATCCAAAGGCCCCACTGTTTGTTTAGCCAGCTTCCTGAACTTTAAAAAGTATTATTACTTTTTGAGTTTTTGGCTAGCTGTTCTTCAGATTCCTCTTTGGCCTTCCTTATTCTATTTTTACATTTAATTTGACAGAGCTTATGCTCTATTTTCTTCACTGGGATTTAACTTCCATGTTTTCAATTATACCTTCTTCTCTCTCACTGCTTCTTCTACCTGATTGTTAAGCTACGGTGGCACTTTTTTCGTTCTCTTACTGTGTTTTTTAATTTGGGGTATACATTTAAATTGCACCTCTATTATGGTGTCTTTGAAAAGTGTCCGTACAGCTTGCAGGGATTTTACTTTAGTCACTGTACCTTTTACTTTCTGTTGAACTAACTTCCTCATTTAGGGGGGTGGGATAGCTCAGTGGTTTGAGCATTGGCCTACTAAACTCAGCATTGTGAGTTCAATCCTTGCAGAGGCCATTTGGGGCAAAAATTCATCAGGGATGGTACTTCGTCCTGCTGTGAAGGCAGGGGACTGGACTCAATGACCTTGCAAGATCCCTTCCAGTTCTAGGAGATAGGCAATCTCCATTATATCTACGGGTATGTCTACACTACCCCGCTAGTTCGAACTAGCGGGGTAATGTATGCATACCGCACTTGCTAATGAAGCCCGGGATTTGAATTTCCCGGGCTTCATTAGCATAAGTTCACTCCCCACACAAGAAAATGCCGGGAAGGAGCTGAGGAAGACAGACTGACCTGGGGGAAGGGCTGGACCCAGGCTGAAGGCGTCTTACCCAGTGTCTGGAAACCTGAGCACCCCAAAGCAAATGCAACTTGGGCCTTGAGAAGCTGCCAGACGGCCGGTCCCATCCCTCCGGGTGAGAATCTGCTTGTTCCTCCTGACTCTGCCCCGTGTGTTCTGCAGAGTTTGTGTTTGGTTAGTTCCTGATTATCTGCTTTGCTGTCCCTGAGACCCACGTCAATCTACTATTTGTAGTTAATAGGGGTATGTCTACACTACCCCGCTAGTTCGAACTAGCGGGGTAGTGTAGACATACCCTACATCTTGTGTAGCTGCCCTTTCTGAAATTAAATGCGACAGTGCTGGGCTGCTGAGGTGTTTTTCCCATCACAGGGATCTTAAATTTTATTATATTATGGTCACTATTTCTAAGTGGTCCAGATATATTTATCTCTTGAATCAGATCCTGCACTCCACTTACAACTAAATCAAGAATAGCCTCTCCCCTTGTGGGTTCCAGAACCAGCTGCTCCAAGAAGCAGCCATTTAAGGTATCAAGACATTTTATCTATAGACAGCATGCTAAGCCTGTGACAGTTTCTGGTTTTGTGAGCCCTATTTTATACCTATGAGTAACTGCACCTGTTGTTTTTTTTTTTTAGTAATGAGCTTGAGTGTAAATGTTAGTTCTAGCCTAAATTGTCAAAGGTGGCTTCTACTTTTGAGTACCTCAAATGCTGGAGGCCAGTCAGAGACATGTTGTGCCTGAGTTGTACATCTCATTTCCCACTGACAGACAAAAGTGTTCAACTCAGGCCCTAGGTATTTCTGGTTGGGCAACCACTAGCTGTAGAGTCCTAAATTAGAGTTCTCTATTTAATAGTTGGATCAAAATTCTTACCTATATGCATGTGCATAACATGGTGGTCTGCCCCCTGTTGAATAGGGGGCCTGAGGTCAGTCAACCCTGGTCAGTTATGTCAGATCAGTTGGGAACGGGGATAGGACTGTGAGAGCTCAATTGGAAAAGGAGTTGTAGAAAGGAAGTATATTTCTGTGGCCAGGCCTGGAATAGGAGAAGAGAAAAGGGAAAGGTTCTTGGGACCCTTACAGCCTGTGTTGGTCAGTAGAATAGCACTGTTGTGTGTTACAGTTAATAAACTGCCCTCAGGTTTGGGCTGAAAGACTGTGAGCATGACAATGTCCACTGAGAGGGGGATGAACAGAACACATATGAGTGAGAAATTTACTGAAAAGAAAAGCAAAAATTAGATAGTGAATTACTGTCAGAGACCAAGGAAAGCTCAGGTCCTTGGTTTTATCTGTCATACAATCAGTTTCTCACAACAAGGTGTGATTGTGTAGGTTCTTGGATAGGAAGGGGAAAGGCCTATGGGACAATCTCTGTTAAGATGCAGACTAATCTTCAGAGAGGTTTGAGAACTTCTGTCCAGTCTATATTTATGTCTCGATCTACACAGGGCATCTGTTGCTCTCCTCTCAGCCCCAGCATGGAACTTGCCCTCTTCTCTACACATGGCTAAGCTGGCCCAAATTTTTCCAATTCAATATTTTTTTTTAAATTCCTAACAAAATTATCATTTTCTGACCAACTAAAGAATAACTAAACCTTTTTTCCTAATATTTGAAATGTTCATTAAATTATACATTTTGAAATAAAAGGAAGCTGGGGGTTTTTTTTTACATTTTTTCCCTGTTTTGCCTCAGAGCATTTACTGATTTAAGCTGTACTTTTTCTTCCCATTAATCTTTTTTTTCCCCCCACCAGGATAGCTTAAACATTATGATAATTAATTACTTACGTTACTTTAAAACAACTTGTATTAATGATAGAATTGAAATCAATGATCACATCTATGGCAACAGAATTTTATCAAAACTAAACACTGTAAGTTATAGCACAACACTGAAAATTGAGATTTAAACAAAACATATCATCGTCATTTAATTGTCTTCACGGAAAAGTACTTGGCTCTTTATGAAGTGTTGATGTCTCAGAGAGGATCTCCCCCTACACGTGGAAATATCACCAGGAGTAGGCTAGAATGGGAGAGAATCAGGAAATAGACAGTCTGGGCACAATGTTATCTCAGAGAAACGGAAGAGCTATGAAGAGGGGTAGGGAGAAGTCTGAGCTGTTAACATGAGGGCCGGTTGAGAGGATAATTTAAAACATCCTGAAAGGGAAATACAAGTTACCCGTATATTAAAAAAAGGATAATGGTCATTGAGTAAAAATAGACATATACATTTAAAGAGACACTTACAGTACCAGGCCGGGGGTATGGAATACGTCCTTCATATTGTACCCATCGATGATCCACACTTTCTTTATGGGCATAAGGACCATTGAAAACAGCTCTGATATCAGCCATGCTGTAAACACAAACTGCAGAGCCCTTGAATACAGAGCTGAAAGAAATTAAGTATCTTTATAAGTACATTTTAAAATTTTCAGTATAGGCCTGATTCAAAGTGAACTAAAGACAGCTAAAAGATTTCCACTGATTTTCATAGACATTGGATCAAGTCCCATACCTGATCATTATTGTAATGGACAGTGGTGCTAATTATGTATGGTATACATTACAGCTTTGGCCTGATAAATGCTAATATATAGTTTAACTGTGATTTATAGATTAAAGCTTTGGACTGCTAGAGCCTAAGTTTGTTAACTTTTTGGCCACTCTGAAGAAAAACATATTTTAGTCTGGTGGATGAAGGATCCAGAGACCTATTGTTCCTTATTCTGACTAAGACTGTGGGGTGTGAATGTTAGAGATTTAAGGACAGCCCTTTACATTCAGTTTGTATTTGACATGATGTATTTTAATTCTTGTACAGGGAACTAGAGAATTGGAGAGACTTGTAAACAAAAAATAAATAAAATGTTACGTGTGTTTTCTAAAAAAAAGACATTGAATTATCTAATTAAAACCAAACCGTAGGCAAGTCTGTTTATCTTTCACTTCAGGTGACAAAATGGACATCCATTTATTTCTGTACAGCTTCCGTGGCTATGGAATTAGGTTCAATTTTGTCAATTTGTTTACTGGATTGTATGAAGGTCCCTAGAAGGTTTGTTGATTATGACATTGATCCTATCGATAATGTATTACTTCACAGTATTCTTACAGTTGATATTTATAGTATCTTTCATTCTTTGGACACTGGACTGAGACCCAAGGGACATGAATTCTACTTCTGCCTGTGCCACTAGCCAATTATGAGACCTTGGACAAGTCAAGTCACTTCTCTGTGTCACTCTCCTGCCTCCACCTCGTCCCCTTTGATTAGTCTGTATAGATTATAAACTCCCCAGGATGAGAACTCCCTATGTGCATGTTTCGCATCCAGCATCGTGGCACCCAGATCTTGGTCTGGGCCTTTATGTAATACAAATCAATAATAAAGACTACTACAAACTGAGATAGAAACTGTGTCTAGAATGACTGCATTCCATTCTATCCACAGCAGGTAGATTGCATGACACGCAAAAACAAGATTAGACATTATTAATATTGGGCAGCCAAACACTCAAAAGTTAGGAAAGGCCAGAAGGAAGGCTGCCAGTGCAAACTTAACTCACCCCCTTGTGTGTATGCATTATGCTACCGTCTCTAACAACATGACTACATGCTATTTTATCTACAGGACTTCTGCTTCATTTACTTCACAGGATGCAGGGTGCTCACTTAATCAGCAACTATTCAATATCTTGTTGTAACTTTACTGTTCAATATGTGGCCCCCTTCAAATCATGGTCGGAAAACAGAATGATTAATTTTCTCAGATTTTCTATGATGCTAATCGCTATAATATCTGAGTGCTTCACAAACATTAGTTATGCTTCCAGTCCCACTCCCCTAATGTAAGGTGAGAGGATATTAGCTATTACCATCCCCACCTATAATGCCAATGTGTCAATGTGACAGCACACCCCACATTCTTCATTAAAAACTATTATGATATGATTATGGCACATTATGATGTATTTTATGCAAGATAAGTCATGGGAGGCTGGGGACATGCAGACCATGGTGTTGCAGCACTGCTTACCCTGGATAATAGCCATTGATGGACCTATCTTCCAGGAAATTATCTAGTTCTCTCTAACTCTTACAACTTTGCCTTCACAGTATCTCCTGGCAAAGAGTTCCATGGGTTGACTGCCTGTTGTGTGAAGAAATACTCCCTTTTGATTTTTAAAACCTGCTGCTTCTTAATTTCATCGAGGGACTCCTAGTTCTTGTGTTGTGTGAAGGACTGAATAACATTTTCTTACTTTTTTCACATCAATCATGATTTTATAGACCTCTATCAATGTCTCCACTTAGCTGTCTCTTTTCCAAGCTGGAAAATTCCCAGTCATTTTAACCTCTTCTGCTGTTTCATACCCTTAATAATTTTAGTAGCCCTTCTCTGTAGCTCTTCAAATCCCAATATATTTGAAGGGTGGGATGACCATACTTCACACTATAATCAATATCTGAGAGTATCATGGATTTATATAGTAGCTTTATGATATTTTCTGTCTTATCTATCCCTTTCCTAATGGTTCTTTGCATCCCCATTAGCTTTTTTGACAGTTGCTGCACATTGAGTGGATATTTTCAGAGGCACTTTGAGAAGTTAACCTAATTTGGACCCTGACCTTTTGTACGTATTGTTGAGATTGTGTTTTCCAATGTGCATGACTTTGCATTTAGCATACACCTCAACTTCACCTTCAGTCTCACACTTCATTGGCTCTGACTCCCTTCCTATAAAGCCAATTCCCCTCCCCCCCACCACTGGAATTTTAATTCCTGAGAAAGACACTGGATAAAAGGTTCCTGCCATTTGCAAAAACTATTTAAGGCAGGGGAATTACATCACTGTGGTTCTTCACTGGCCCTCTCCCTGAGAAGACTCCTGAAAAGGCCTGAGCAACAAAAACTGAACTGGGGGAAAGTGCTGGACCCAGACTGAAGGGACTTTGAGCCTGTGAATGGAACACCCTACCCCTTAAGAATCTGCAGCCTGCCAGAATCATCATTTAGGGTGAGCATTTGCTATTCACACACACTTTCTTTAGTATGTTAATCTTAGTATGTTTCTTTAGTAGGTAATCTGCTGTGATGTGTTTGGTAACTCAATAAATCAATTACAATCTATCTTTTGTAGTTCATAAACTTATTTTTTTTAAACCGGCATGTGGGAGTCAAAATACGGAGTAGAAATGTGCTGTATATTTCTCTCCATATTGAGGGAGGAGGTGAATTTTATGAGCTTACACCCTAAAGTTCCCTGTGCAGTGCAAAGTGGTATAATGGGGGGGGGAGGAGGGGGTGCATGCCCAAGGATCTTGGAAGTGCCTTAGCTGGAACATTTCCATTAAGAGCTGATCACAGCATCTGCATGTACTGTAGCTAGTAGTTTCTCTACCTGTGTGTGTGCTAGTAAAAGTGCAGGCTGGAGCCTGAAAGAGGACTTGGAAGGCTGGTCACAGTATTACAGTGTAAAGGGAACCCAGGCTGATGGGTCAGACAGGCGCTGTGGCATCTCAGTGCCAAGAGCCACCGTAGGAGGAACCTATCACAGTCACTGTAAAGTGCTTTATTGCCAAAAGTGACCTACAGCCATTTCACTTGAGATGGCATATTGTTTGATCTCACAAGATAATCAGGTTCTGGCAGCAAAGGAGAATGCATTTATTTCAAGTAGATGCTGTCATAATAGATGCTTCAGGGTATTCTGTAAAGTTCATCTTTTTTTAATTTTGAAATTCAACTTCTTAAAGATTTTTGTGAAAAAAATCACTCTGTTTCTTAACAGAATCTTTTAAAACCAGGCACTTATTTAGATGGCTACATGAAGCATAACTCTAGGCACCCATTTTTAAAAACATTGGCCTATGTTATCAGAGGTCTTATTATGCAGGTCTTATTTTGGAAAATTCCCTTTGACTTTCAGAGGTTTGTGCCTGAGTGAGGCCTTTAGGATTGGATTCAGAGAGCAAGCGTGACACTACACATACCTTGTAGTCGTGAAGACTCCATACACTAGTGGGTTTCTCTCATCTCTTGTGGAAAGTAAGAATATATCTTCTGTAATGGGAAAAGTTTATTTTTATTAAACAGACTATTAACATTTTCATATTCACCACCCTATCATGTGGATATACATAAAATTAATCCTTACACCAGTTTGATTTTGAAGTTTTTTGTCCTGTGAATTGTCTGAAGTTCCAATTCCCAGCATCTAGGGTGTTTTTTTCCCCTAACTGGAATCAACTAAACTTCTCCCCAAATGGGAAACACTAAGTAAAAATATCAGGGCATAATTCTAATTGCACTTACACCAGGTATACATAGGAGACTTGCCACAGTATAAAACTGATGCAAGTGAGAATCAGAACACTGCCCCAAGTTTCTCTAAATTAAAGCCAAGAACTGATTATATAACAAATTAGTAAAGATCAGTTCAACTTACGTAGTTCATCAAAGTATGTGTCTGCTCCCTCAGGGCCAGGTATTGAGCACACCAGTTTTGCTTTCAGGAAAGTTGTCCACTTGTTTATTAAGCTCCGTTGACCTCCCATATCATTCTAATTAAAAATAAAAAGATTTGCTTAATGACTAAATAAGGCACTTTTATATAAGCATCTAAAATTTCTGCTCATCCTCTTCTGAGCAGTGTTTTCAGGCCATATTTCTAGTCCACCCTTTATATATTTAAAGTAGAAAAGGGATTAATGGGATTAATGGGAAATGTTTAACACAAACATGGTTTCAAAAGAAATGCATATGATCATAGGCTGAAATTTGAATGGTTTTGGTATTATCACATATGGGATTTTATTCTTTTACTCCTAGTGCTGAAAAACACCTAGTTTGAACAAATAAAAGTTTTTCAAAGTTCAAACATACTAAAGCTTTGAAAACCCCTTTTTACAAACTAACCATTTTTCAGCATTAAGAATTCATTCCCCCCATTATAGAAAAATCTATTTGCAAAGTTTAATTAAACAACTCCATAGCAGAAATGCCCACAGCCACACCACTCCCAGACATGTGGTCTCTTGTCATTAAGAGGAAGTCATTATGGAATTAATGGGTATCTAGGAATTTTTTTACATGCAGAAAAATGGTGAAGATCATTTTTTGGGAGGTGGCCCCAAATGCAAATGATTAGCCCTACCAATGGTTGCACAAGCTGACATATACTGTTTGTGATGTGTAAACAATTCATAGGGAGGTTTGTGGGAGGGCAAAATTTGGTCATATTATTACAACTTACATTCTTGGTGAAGTATCCCTCCATATTCCATTATAGATAATTTCCCTAAGGCCACATTTATGGCACTAAGAAATAATGGTCAAAGGTTTGGGGATCTTCTAAAGTATCACATATAAAACGAATAGGATAATGTGACCAAAACTGCTTCTGAAATATCAGTTTGTATGACACAATGCACTTAATTCGTTGTTTAAAACAAAAGGAGTTAATTCTGGAATAAATTTTTAAATTTTTAAGGAGTCAAATGCAAATACATAGTGACTAGATGATAATTATTACAGACATCCAAAAGCATGGTCTTACGTGTCAGGAGTTGCAAGGGGTTGTTTTTTCTCCCATAACACATTCTCAGTTATGAGAGAAAACCTCTCTGCTAACCTCTCTCTTTTCTGTATTTGTTTCTATTAAATATTTTAGCTCAGTTTCTAATTTTTTTTAATATATTGCCTTTTGAATCAAAGTTCTTACAAGAACTGTCACCTCTCTGCTTAATTTTCTAAAGTTCTTCCCAGCCCACAGGTTTGCATCTAGCCAACAGATGTATTACACAGGTGTCAAAATTAGCAGCCTTAAGTGACTAGTAAAGCATGCTCGGTATATGTGTGTTCTGTTGGAAGGCACAGCTGAACCCTCTTACACAAGCAACCACACATACATAAACAGTAAATAGCTCTGAGCTTTTCATGCATCTGGCAGGTCTGTTAACTAAATTAAATCTCTCTCTTCTACCAGAGTTCCCTTCTGAGCTCAATAGCGGGTGCTGCACATTTTCCAAAGACTGATTAGTAAATGTTTGTCTGGTACTTGGAGTGATGCTGGGGAAGCAATGAATGTTGGGAGTGGACTGAAAAACACAATATCAAGGAAAATGTATAAGAAGATGAGAGTAGATTCTAGACATTCCACTGCTATGACAGACTGGAAATTATATAAACATGGCTCACAATCCTCAGTCCCGATCAAACAGCGCTCTTAGGCACCAACTTAACATTAAACACATTAGTAGTCCCATTCAGTTCCTTAAGGTAAGCAAATGCTTAAGAACTTTTATCAGGGCCTCAGCAAGCAGCTGGGCCTGTGCTACATTTTGCCAATACTATTTAATTTCACATATCGAAACTAAGAGGAAAGTCAGCCTCTTGTGGCCTGCCAGCTCTACATGGATGATCATCAAGTACACTATAAAGTAACCATCTGCTACAGAAATTAGAAATGGAAAAGCAGTTCCACTCACAGCATCCTCTGTCCTCCAGCAGGAGCTCCTAACCCTCCAGGAGCCTCTGGCTGAAAGAGGCAGTGAGAGACAAAGCTGAGCACAGGGGAGACATGGGAGAATCGCTGTTTTTGAAAACTTCGGTATCTAGCTAATGCTCAGCTCTACATCTCTTTTCCACCATATCTGCATGATACTGTTTCTTTGCTTTTTAATGCCTACTCTGATAGCTTTCTAAAGAAGATGGAGCTGGAAAAAATATACAAGTGTGGATTGAAAGGGGACAGGAGCTGACAAAAGTTGTAACTGCTCTATGAACTGGTGGAAAGAACCCAGCCCATGCCAATAAAGAGTCACAGTCTAGGAGTTGTTTCGGACTTCACCTGCTCTTGGATTGCCAGGTAGCTACAATAGCTACTACTGCTTTTTATATCTGTGCTTAGTGGAGTAAGGACTACCTTTCCTCTGGGATGCATACTTCACCACAGCACCTCTAACAACCTCAGGACTTGCAATTTGCTCAGCAATTTCACCTATGATGGAAGTTGCTTATCTGCCTGCTAAAGGAGCACAATAGTGTCCTGTGAACTACAAAAGCATCCCATTCCAAAACTGCAATGGTTCTGCCCTATAACCTGGGCCTAATCTGGTAATGCATCACCTTAGAAAACACCTCTCTTCCTATTCAGTCCTTAAAACATCTGAGTCTCAGAGAGGTAGTTGTGTTAGTCTTAATCTGCAAAAACAATGAGGAGTCCTGTGACACCTTAGAGACTGACAGATTTATTAGAGCATAAGTTTTCATGGGTAGAACCCACTTCATCGGATGAGTTGGAGTGGAAATTACCAAGGCAGGGATGTATATAAGAACAACAACAAAAGTTATTCATCAAGCGTAAAGCCGATGTTAATGATGTTAATCATGTCAGGGTGGATGTGTCTCATTCACAGCACTAGATGTGGAGATGTGAACATCAAGAGAGGAAACTGCCTTTGGAGTGTGTTAACCAGTTAAGATTCTTATTCAATCTTAAAACGATTGTATTGAATTTACAAATGAACTCTAGTTCCGCTGTCTCCCTTTGTAATTGGATTTTAAAATTCTTTTGTAGAAGCATGACTACTTTTAAAAACATTACTGAATGTCCAGGGAAGTTAAAGCGTTCCCCCACAGATTTATATATTTTACCTTTCTTGCTGTCTGATTGGTATCCATTTATCCTTTGGAACAGAGACTATCCAGTTGGGCCCATATACATGGCAGAGGGGCATTGCTGGCACTTAATGACATATATCACATGAATGGATGTACAGGTGGATGAGCCCTTGATGTTATGGCCTATGTGGTTAGGTCCTGGGGTATGTCTACACTACCCCCCTAGTTCGAACTAGGGGGGGTAATGTAGTCATACGGAGTTGCAAATGAAGCCCGGGATTTGAATTTCCTGGACTTCATTTGCATGAAGCCGGCCGGCGCCATTTTTAAATGCCGGCTAGTTCGGACTCCGTGCTGCGCGGCTACACGCGGCATAGACTAGCTAGTTCGGATTAGGCTTCCTATCCGAACTAGATGTACGCCTCGTGGAACCCTAGTATAGATAGGTGGACAGAGTTAGCAACAGGGGTTGTTGAAGGGACAGGTTCCAGGGTAAGTGTTTCTGAGGTGTGGTATGCGGCTGCTGGTATTTGCTTCAGATTGGAGGTATTTGTTTGTAGGTGAGGACTGGCTGGTTTCCCAGAGTCCGGGAGAATGAGGGATCATTATCCAGGATAGATTGGCAATGATGCACTGGAAGGGTTTTGTTGGGGGCTGTAGGTGATGACCAGTGATGTTCTGTTATTTTCCTTGTTGGGCCTGTCTTGAAGTAGGTGACTTCTGGGTACTCCTTTGGCTTTGTTAATCCGTTTCTTCACTTCCCCCAAGTGGGTATTTAAGTTTTAAGAAAGTTTGATAAAGATCTTAACAATGTTTGTTTCTGTCTGAGGGACTGGAGCAGACACAGTTGTATCTTAGGGTTTGGCTGTAGACAATGGATTATGTGACATCACTTGGATGCAAGCTAGAGGTATGGAGGTAAGAATAGCGGTCAGTAGACTTCTGGTAGAGGGTGGCATTTATGTGGCTATCATTTATTTGTACTGTAGTGTCCAGGAATTGGATCTTTTTTGTGGACTGGTCCAGGCGGAGGTTCATAGTGGGATGGAAATTGTTGAAATCCCTGTAGATTTCTTCAGGGGTCTCCTTCCCATGGGTCCATATGATGGTATCATCAATGTAGCGTAAGTAGAAGAGGGGGAGAGCTGAGGAAATATTCTTCTTGGTCAGCCATAAAAATGTTGGCATATCATGGAGCCAAGCAGGTACCCATAGCAGTGCTGTTGACTTTAAAGTATAGATTGTCCCTGAACTGGAAATGGTTGTGGGTGAAAGAACATCTGGGACCCTTTTGCCAACAGTCCGCAGATGCTTCTTAGCAAGGACTCTAAGAATATTCCTGGCCTAGGATTTGGCTCCATCAATGTTTGAGTCTGGGTCTCTCTCCGGCCTCACCTGCTGCGCTTCCTCTCCCATATAGAACCTGCACCCTGGGTGGCTACTCTGCAGCTCTGCTATGTTCCCTTGCCTGCTGCTACCAGCTACAAAAAGGGGCAGCGCTAGTGCCATCAGCAGTCTGAAGTGTGTGGATGGAGGTTCAGAGGAGCGAGTGACAGCAGCTACAGCTCAGAGAGCCCTCGGTGGCGGCTCAGCCTCCTTTTCACTTTTTTCTTTCTCTTCACCACCAGTCTCTGTATGCAAGATAGCCTCCTGCTTTCCAATAGCCAGCAAGATTTCTTGCTGTGTCTCCCACACATGAGCTGCTCTTTTCAGGTCTCCTTCTGAGGTGAGCATGAAGTCTGCTTTCAGGGATCTTCCCCCACCCCTACCTTCACCTGTAGTCTCTCTCCAGAGTTGAGCGTGGAGAAGAGTTTGTTGATTCTCAGTTTTCCCTCTGAACTCTTTCTGCCCTTGTTTTTTGAATGAAAAATTTTCATTCTGAGGAAGTATATCCCCATGCCACCTGAGAGGGGCACATATAGTGATGGTGGGGCAGCGT